TACCAAACAGCACGCATTTCGCTTGAACATATCTGACCAAAATTCCTGACGATCCCCGCATTATCCGTGAACCGCGGGGTAGCATGACCGGGTGGCTCGGAGGGAGGAATGAATTGTGTCCCACTCCGCGAAGCCCCTATTCCCTACATGACCGGTTGATGAGATATAGTAAAAGTGGCAAAAGAATGAGGGACCATGGCAACGGGATAATTGCGAGGATGGCTGAAAATGAGGTGGTAAAACAGGGTACCGTCCCCGCTTCTTCCGCTCGCCTCTCTTTCCTATCTCCCCCATCACAGCACCGCAGAACCGCAGCTTTGACAGTGCAGTGAAATACGGGGACGGAAGAGAAAACTTGGGAACTTAGGCGGGCCCCGCACCCAACGTCAGCATTCCTTCATTTGCATGGCGACAGCACCTGGGGATGTTGGAGGCGGGGACTCGGAGGTAGCGGCTGCAGAGAACAAGCCGGGCGGCGTCGCGGGGACTTCCACTTTTGCACAGTCGTCGCACTTTTTCCATGGGAAGAAGAAGTTGAACCCGTCGTCGGCTCCGGTATTGCAGTTTCCACAGTGAAATGGGTATTGCCGATTCCGCGATGAAGGGTCTGACCATATTTGCTCACATGGCCAGAGATGAGATGTCGTCCGGTGTCTGGTCTTCTCCGGGTCCAGGCCAGGTGATTATTGATTGCTCACCACGGTGACCGGATGATAGATTGGAATAGATTGACTGGCTGGCTGGCTGGCTGACCGTCACCGAACGGCCGACTGTTTGATATGTCTGGCGGCTAAGCACTTGAACATTGCACGCAGCTGTCCGTTGTTGGACATGGGGGCGTGGATGAAGGCAAGAGTCGGCTTTAGAAATATCACATCGATTGATTGATACACCAGACAGGGCCCGGATCCGGCCGAGGATTCCAGTTCCAGTTGGGTTGTGTGTGTGTGATAGCTGAAGCAGCGGGAGAGGCGAAGCACCTGTTGCTCGTTGGGAGGTGAACGCTTAGAATAGGCTCGCAGTGCTCGGCAGTCATCCTGTACCCCTTGTTCTGTGTTACGAACACTTTCTTCTCCGCGGTGACTAATAGTGGCGGGAGTTATTCGGAAATACAGAAGGAGGAGGGGGTTAACTGATGGGTTTCTGGGGTCCATGGTCTTTGGTGCTACGTGAGCGAGGGGAGAGAACCTTGCGTCTTGTCCCCTTCTGTGTCGTGTGAAGCTCGGCGTATTGTAAGACGGTCAGATATTGTAGACCGTGAATCTTCAATCTTCATGATCCCTGGACTGAGCACTGTCGATATCAAAGCCGACCTGACATGTCTGTTGGAGAAGTCGGGGAGCCGGGGCATGGCGAGATGTGTGCGGAGACCTTGGTTCCATTTTCCTTTGTGAGGAGGAGAACCGAGAAAGCTGCTGATGTCAGGGTGCAGTGAATAATGCGTGTTAGTGGTGTTAGTGCCCGCACAACCCGCAGTCCGAGAGGCCGTCCCCAACAGTCGCCAGTTACACCGGGTTCAACCAGAATAGACAAAAGGTGATACGTCACAATTCGTCTTTGGTAGAGTTGCCAATGTGATTGGTTCTTCGACAGAGAAGATATTGTTACCAAGGCCTGAGCATTGACCAACATGCTCCATCACAAGTGAGATGGAAAGTGTTGCTATATTGCGCCGATAGAGCTCCATGATTGAGATGGGGTGAAGGACGGGACGCTGACGAGAGGTTAGTCGTACGATCAGTTGATTTCGTTTGGATGGAGGGGCATGCGAATATTCTTGAGGTTGCCGTCGCCGTGCTGCCTCTGGACGCTGGAGATCACTTCCGTAAATGTTTCTTGTCTCTGCAGAGTATGTTTCATGGAGTGGTTAGCGAGAGGGTCGCTTGACGCGGCTAATCCTGTCGTCGTTCAGGAGAGGTTGTCAAGAGTGGAGAGCACGTCGTCTAATCGGCGAGAGAGAGCCGTCAAGATGGAAGATTGTGAGATGACAGAGCCAATGTTCGATTCTGGGGTAAAATGAAGACGCTCAAGGGACCCACTAATCCGCTGCACTGTGTGTAGCCTTGCAGATTCCCATACAGCAGCAGTCCACTGACACAACGTGTGCTTATCATGACATGCCACTGTCCTTTGGTCGTGGTGTTGATGGAAGTGAAGATGGAATTCAACATTACCCTCAACTTCCAAAATATCATGATGGACAGTTTAACAGGGAACAGGCTCACGGCAAGATGCAGGAATAAGCCCTCTGTTTCTTTCGTTTGTGTCTTGGAGATAAGCGGAACAAGCTTCGGGTTTCCCTTTTGAGCCCGAGTGTGGCTGACGCAGGAATCAATGGTTATGAAGAGTATCGAGCTTCTTTGAGTCACAAATGACTTCACGACTGTTCAATATTTCGCAATCTTTCAGCCGAGTATTGAAAAGTACCTGCAAGTCACTTGCCGTGAAAGAATCAGAGTTTGTTGGTTGTTCAATCTTTCTTTGACTGAGGTGCCCAGTTTGCTGATACAGTAGGAAGGTACGACACACTGTGTTTGTTCTCCGATAACGGCCCCGCTTGATGGACACAGTGACCGGGAACGTTATCAGATCTTGAACCCATGGAGTCTTTCTTTTTTGGATCTTTCAATCGACCGACATCCAATTTCTTACCGAACTCATTCATCTTCTGAGATAATCCCCAAGGAAAGTCTTGCCTATCAGTAAGTGAGTCACGGTCATACCAGGGCGAACGCGCAATATGAAATCTGACAAACCCGAATCGCACCTTCGAAGCACCCCGAAAACTGAGGCCATTCCCAGACCAGAAAAGCTGCGGTACCAGCGCTTGTCCTGCGCGTTGGTACGCTATAAACTAAATTAACAAAATTAGCAGGATTACTACGTACAGTGGGTGTAACAACGGCACACATCGAAAGAAAAAAGAAATCAATCAGCATGTGCAATTCAATTTGACCAGACAGGCAGTTTGCCTCTTTCTCCTTGGAGCTGCTCTCCTTCCCCTGTCAGCTTTGGCTCTCCTGTCAGCATCGTCACCACACAACACAACCACGCAGAACACAAACTCATCGTCGGGTCCGGTGCTCATCTTGATCAGGACTCCAGGACTCCAGGACTCCAGAACTCCAACGATCAACACAACAAAAACCAAAGATCGACAAATCGGTAGAACCCAAACTAGCAAACAATCCAAACCCAATGAATTTCGGGCATCATCAGCCGAAAGCCATAGCCAAAGCCAAACAACGACACCCATCAATCACTGAACGGACGGCTCAAACCTGGCTGGCCCTTTGTCCCCCTCCATCCGTCGCTCGCAACCACTCGTGCTACTCATTGCCCCATCGGCCAATAGGGAGAACCCGAAGGTTTAGTGTGTTCTTGTCCTCCCTTCTCCCCTGTCCTCCGTGTCCTTCCACCTCCCCCCCCCGCCCCCGGTGTGAGTGTGCCCTGTCCTCCCGTCATTTGCAGGCTTGCAGCAGCAGCTCTGTGGTTCTCGCAGGCGTCGTCGAACGGTCTGGCCCTCTCGTGGCTCTCTTGTCTTGCCTCACTACTATTTCCGAAGGAGACCCCTCCTTCCCCAGACGCAACCAAGCGACGCCGAGATGGGTCAGCCTACTGTAGTCTTTTTCTTTTCTCGTCTTCATGCTTGTGCCTCCATGTCATGCCCTGCGTGCTTGCTCGCCTCGGGACTATGCTTGCAAAATGCAGGAAGAAAGCAAGGGACCTCTGGGCCCGACGAGATCGAAACACCCGATGCACGATGTCATTGCCCTTTCAAATCGTAATCGTGGCTTGGGGTCTTCCTAAGATGGGAAGGGTAGACGAACGAACCATACATCGAACGAAAAGAAAAAGCCTGGCGGGGGCGGCAGGGATGGATGGTTCTGGCCACTTACTTGCCAGCCGAACGGAGGCCGACGGCTGGCTGGGACTGGGAACATTCCATTCCATCCCTTTGTCATTTCAGCATAGCACATGCGTCGTGAAACTCTCTCATCGCCAGGCGGTCCGTTCAGTTCACTGTTCACTATATTGACGGCGACGTCGTCCTCCTGCGTTCACGTTACACGCCCGGCTACGGTAGCAGTGTCCCAACATTCATCTGGTGTCCAGTGGAATAACTCCAAGCAAGAAAGTAACGACGGGCGAGGCCGCTTCACGAACACGTCTGCACGTTTGTGGAGTTTCCCTTGGATCCTGAAAGAAACGAAGTAAGGTACAGAGAAGAGAGCAGACTGTTACTCGTCTGTTCTGTTTCTTATGGTCGCTTCAGGGGCGTAGCATCGCAGCAACACAGACGGGAAGAGATTACTTCCTGCGAGCTCCTGCTAGAGGTATGATACGCCGAGAAGGCAGGCGAACATAACAACGCCGTTGAATTCGGCCGGCCGGCCAGCCGTCGTAGCGTAGCGACGAAGGACCTCGTTGTTCGTTCGTCTAATCGTCTCCTCGCTTCGTGAGAGGGAAACGAGGAATCCATGAATAGTGTAAAAGAAGAACCGACGACAACGTACACGATGCAACCACCCGAGCCGAGCACACGACAAGTCGACATTTGGTTGCCTATGGCCCTTCTTCGCTTGCCTGCCGCCGCCCAGCCCAGACGTGCCAAGAACTGGCCCAAGACACATTCCGTCCGGTTAACCTTGATTGATCTTGCCGACGGTTAGATGTCGGTGCTCCCTAACACCCGGTCGGGCTTGTTCTTCTTTGGGAAATCCGAGACCTGAAAGCAAAGCCGTGAAAGTGAGAGTGACGGAAGTGTTTCTTTGTGTTTGTGTTTGTGCCTGGTTTTGGCCTTGACCTCGCTTTTATCGTATCGTAAATGGTACAGTATCGATTTGGTACGTACCGCGTAAGGTACGACCGTGAACACTGAACAGAGAAGGAACGGTAGGCTAAGGTAGCTGGTAGGTACCTAGACCAAGAAAGGATTAAGGGAAGCAAAAATCAAGGGTTCCGAATATTCCTTCAGCTTTGAAGCTTGTGACGACGACATGGACGACGGTGATGGGGAGGACAAGGGCGACGACAGTGATGACGATGACGCTGGTGATGGCGATAGCAAGTATGACGGCAATGATGGTGACGGGAATTGCGTAAGTCGTCCTAAAATCTTGACTTCCCCGCATTATGACTTGATCTACATTCTCAACGCCAGAAAGGACCCCGGACAGTTCTAGATGGACGTCTCCCACCCTTCTTTCTACTCTTCTCCATTGGACGTTTAAACATCGCACAGCCGAGCACAAGATATCAAAGTTAGGTAAGGGACTCATATGCATTTCCGCTTGACTTCTTTCCCGGTGGAAACCGGCAGCGACTCGGAAGCTCATTCGGAAGCTCGGGGGCGAGAAGGTCGGTGATACCTTGTTGCCCTTGATGCCTCAACAGTGATTTGATGCCTAACGAGATCTTCCCTTCTTCCACATTCCCCTCCCATTCCTCTCCCCGGTAAAGATCATCCACCTCCACTGGCTTTGTTCCGATTTTCTTACGCTGCACCATACTCCCTAGCAGATTACCGTACCCGAACCGACACCACCACAGCACCACAGCTAGCTGTGCACACCGTCTTCGATGCCCACAGGACGGAGCCACAGGGTATCCGAATGTCTGGTAGGCTCGTGGACTCGTGGCAGGCTGGGGAAAGAGGAGAAAGGTTTGATCCCGTGATCAACAGGCGGGACAACTCCATGTCTCCAATCACGCGCGCGAGCAACAAAGAAAATCGAAGAAAAAGATCGGAATGATCAACGACTGGCTGCGTGGCTCGTCTGTTTCGTCCGCCGTCTGGGGAAGATCGCACGTGCGAAGGTTATCCAAACCACCAACGACACCCTGTAACGTACAAACGGAGAAGTTGGAATGGAGAAAGCTCTCGCTAGCCCAGAGGAGGGAGGTCCCTCCCTCCCGTCAACCCCGACGATGTTTTTCTGATCTGGGGTTCTTTGACCGGATGAGCATCCAATGTTCTAGCCCACTGTCGGCGCTGATGGTCCTGGTGTTAAGCATTGCCGAGTTAGTGCTGTTAGTTGTTCCCTCAGCCAATCACAACCGCGAATGGGAACCGTCGGGACGGTGTTACGGTGTGTTACAGTTACCGGTTGTATCGTAAATTTCCAACCTTCCCGTCGAGTCCTGGAGGAAGAGCTCACGCGAGCGGCGGACACGACTCATGTTAGCCCCTTTCCTTTTTCTCTAAATTTCGGTCGATGCTAGCAAAGCGAAGATCCGGGGTTCGGCATATTGTTGTCGTGATTGACGCCGCCCGCTCTGATAGGTAGGTACGTGACGAAGTACCGATGATTGACGGTGAGCAAGCAAGCAGGCCGCAGCTTTGACTTTGAGGATCCGGGGTAACGCACGTAAGTTTCAATCTAACCTTCTTTCGTCTCTGCTCTGTCTGGGACCCGAGAATTCTAGACTCGGACCCTGGCTGGCGTGCCTTGCTCGCTGGGAATTGCCTCAACTCCACAGACGACACTATCTTAGTCTGGTTTCCAAACCCATGAGATGAGCGAGATCTCACGATGTCCTCCTCTTGTCTTCTTCTCACCGCCGCGAGCTGTTACATTGAGACGCTGCTGGTTTTCGTGGCCAAGTATGGTACCTGTCAGTTTAGGTACCCAGTGCTGCTGGCGTCGCTGCTGTGCGAACTGCGAACTTACGACGCTTGGACTGAAGCGGACTGGAGCAGCTAGCAGACTGGGGCGAAAGAAGCGGATGGACTACCGTATTCGAACACTTACATACACGCATTGTAAGTGCATTTGATGCAAGTAAAAGCTGCAAGTTTCCGACATTGCGCTTGCATTTTGTCGTGTGTGGACTGTGGTCAGTTAGATCAGTCCAGTCCAGTCGGCTGGGTGACAGACAGACAGTTGGAGAGCCCACTGGTGGTCACTGCAGCACTTGCGGACATGGACATGAAGCTGAAGTTTTTTTTTTTTTTTCGGAAATCCCGATTCTGTTTGACAGCAGCCTCGGCCATTGTGAATTGATTCCCATGTTTCATGTCATGTCCGAGAAGGAAGGGACTTCAAGGGAGGTGAGGTGATAGAGGCGTCTGCCGTCCCGCGGCTAAGACTGCCCTAGGCTGGTACGTAGGTATATCGATCAAACATGAAAGTATCAAACTCTCCTTATCTTTCAACGAACGGGAAGGGCTGCACAGACCCGGGGCGGATGGACGACGAAGGACCCTAACTTACCAGGACCCTGGCACGGCTGGCACGGCTGGCACGGCTGGTACGACTAGGGAAAGGTTAAACTTTCACAATGTTTGTCTTCGAAGTACAACGGACAAGACAAGACAAGAGATCCTACCAAACGTGTATTAAGTGTTTCTTTTCGGGATCGAGGCCGTTAAAAGTTTCGGTAAGGATTCTGGGCAAGGCTTCAGTTCTAGGCCTCAATGGCTTGGTCCCTTTCCTCTTCACAAGACGAGGCGAACCAAGAAGATGGCCGGAAGGCCCAAAACCATCAAGAAGCGCGTCGTGGTCGTGGCCATGGTCTCCGCGTGTTTGTGTAACGGGTGTACCAAACAGTAAGTATGCTTTGCTGTTTGCGTAACGTAAGGCGTTAAAGCTGGCTCGGTGGTGTTTTGTCTTTTTCGCCTTTTCGACCATGGTGAGGGTGAGCAGGCTGGCACGGCGGCTTACAACACAACCACCAACCTTGTTGACAGATGTAAGCCGGCCAGCCAGTCAGGTCAGCAGCCTACCTTAGAAGAAGGCACCTTATCGCTTCCCGCCGCCAAGTATAGCCTACATACCCAAACGTATAGTACCGGGAAAGTACCCAAACTGTTCCTCTTCCCGCTCTGATTCATCTACTGTACGTACCTAAATCCCAACGAATGGAGTTTGAGATATCAAATCCGCCTGCCTGCCAGGCTAGCATTACCTTGTATGTATCAAGCCGGAAGGAGAACGGAATAGACCGGGCAGTATCCAAGCGGACAGGGGCCGACGGGTTGCCGTGTGTAGCGGACCTGATTTGAGTGGTGCTTTAAAAGTGGTTTGACGGGGTTTGAGCTTTTGGCAGAGGAGAAGGCTTGGCAGTCGCATTGTCGCAATCTGGAACTTATGGAACTCGTTGTCGCGCGCATGAGAAACACCAGATCCAAGTCTGTTTTGGCTAGCGAAAAGTGGAATGACATGAGGTGACAGGTGGTTTGGGATGCCCAAGAGAAAAAATATTGTTGAGGATGGGGGATAAGTAGACAGGTAATTAAATGGGCCGTGAGAATGGGATGTTGGAGTTGAACATTGTTTAAGAGTCTGACGTAGCATGAAGCTACTAGCTTTGATCCGTGATGCGATTTTGAGAAAATTGGAGATTTTGGAACTGGATTTTTCAAAGTATCGACGTCAACGCTCGGTTCTGACACACGCTACATGGACCCTCGAGCTTTCCCTTTGCATCGCGGGGTCGGAGGATCCTCGTTTGGAGGGGTCCGTCAACCTTTCTTCTTCTTTTTTTTATGGTGGGTTGTTCAAACCACACGATGGGGACATCGGAAGTATCGAATGCGAGGGCGATCACAACGTAATCATGCCTTCCATGAGAGGACATCTCGGCTGTTGGTTTTTGAGTTTGCCAAGTTGTCACTGAGCGATATCTGAACTCCGATGAAGTGTTATTTTGACTTTGTTGTCCGAGAGTCTCCATATCCCCTCAGCTGAGATTGGGCCACGAATGCGTTGTACAATCAAGCTCACTTCTCTTGGCACTTGCTGGCCATCATTTTCATGATGGTTGCGAATGGAGAAAAGCTTGGTGTTGAGCAAGCCATTCGGTTCAAGACAGACCATGATTTGGGTGGCCTGTCTCGGGGGTCGCTATCCAGGCCCTGAAAACTAACTTGTTCCGGAAGTTGCACAGACCTCTTCCGTCTCAAGATACTTTCCGCCAGCAAACGTTCTTTGCAACCCAGAATACAGCAATTCACCCTAGAAGCCCCCTTTCAGGCCAGCTGAATTGCGAAAAGGAATTCCCTAGCAAATGTTAAGCAGTTCACACAATCAATTTTGCAATTCTCTTAGTAAAAGGTACCGAAAGTTGGATACGTTGCTAGAACTTGAAATATCGTGAGGTGTACCCGACTAAATGCTTAGGGTGGAAAAGTTGGGGCCATTGAAGACATGCAACAAAGAAAGGCTTGGCCACCAAGACCTGGTGCAACCATGTCCGAACAGGGTGTCGTGATAAGGAAAAGGCCAGAGGGGCTGCCCCGCCTGGTTGGTCTTGGCAAGTGCATGCCATGACCGGAAAGCGCGACGTCAACTTGTGCCTCCCTGCACCCCAATGCCACTAAAATGGTTACGGATGGTAACCCAAAGTGTCGGCAGCCTATGCACCTCGATCAAAAGAGAAATGGAGGAGGTGCCCGTTGGCCTCCGGTCTTGTCGTCGCCGTCGCCGTCGCCGGTTGACACGGCACTCGATTGGCCATCTCGGAATCCGATCCTGCGCGTGATTCACGGTAGTGAAGAAAAGGATTCATATAACAATGCTTCAATATTTCACGCGAGGCGTACAGATACAAGACACAAAAAAGCCGGGCATTTGTTGGTGAAGGAACTCGCATGGATGCTTCAGAGTCTGTCTTTCTGTGCCTTCTCTTTCACAGAATCTTATCAGGAGTTGCTGCGTTTTGACATCTCCGCTGGAGCCGGCTATCAGACCATGACCTGCTCCCTGCGCCTGGCGACGCCGCTCAATCGCTTGGCTCAAAGCTTGATGCAGTGAATGCTTGCCTTTCTGATAGGGCTCAATCAAAAGGGGCAAAATCAAGCCTTGTTTATTTTTGCCTGCAAAGCGTGATGCTCGGGCTGCTCCGTCGGGCTTCTGTCCAACATCTCTCGACATACAAGTATCAAGCGAGACCGATGTAGAGGCAGAGAACGAAGGATGTCTGAAAAGACAAGAAAGCTGTCAGCTGTAATATTGAACATGTGTGCGTAATCTGTCGTATTGGATCCAATGCTTTGAGTACACTACCTCTTGTACCCTTGTCAGTAGCCAAATGTCTGCCAAGACATCCATGCTCTTTCGTGCTCTTTAGTCCATGTTCGTCGTACTCTCTTTGTACTCCTAGCGCAGGACCCACCTCCGACGCCGCAGAGGAACAGACCACTTGGACGAGCGATGAGTGGTTTCTCGAAAATACGATACCATACCGTATCGGTACCTTGGCCTTCCTTCCCAGAAAGTGGATGCCACACTAGCCGCCGCAGCACCTGCGCAAGCCGTACCAGTCCGTACATGAATACGACGCTATCTTTCGAAGCCTTTCGCTGCCTTTTTGAATTTCTAGTTTAGATCTAGTTTAGAGACCGGCATCCATTTGCCTGACCCATCGGGGGCTCCACCCATTCTTCAACCTCTGATCCTCCCCCTTCGCAGCGTGTGGTGCGCAGTTCCGGTGCAGCCCAGTCCATGCTGCGGTTCCATTCTATCCTTTCAATTGCAACGAAGTTCCATTTTCCATTTCTCCTCGACTCCTCTCCATACAAATCAGTTACTGTCTGTTCTAGTACTAGACTACGAGACCACCCTGACCACCACCCCCCGACCGACACTCTTAGCAACTTCCACTCTTCCCTCTCACCGCATACTCTGACAGTCGACATCCCGACTCCACGACCCAACGACTTTGACTCCGTTCCTGTCGACGAGACGAGTGAGACTTGCATTCCACTATACCACTCCCGTCTAATTCACATCCGCTCCTTTGCCGACTCAAGCCAGTCGCGTGGAGAACGAGTGCCCTAGAACTACTAGAGCACAAGAAAAAGCAGCAGCCCCCCGGCGCAAAAGCACACTACTAGCCTCTATGGCCTTGTAATATTGTGGCTCTTCGATTGAATCCAACACCCAGTCACGAACGGCACCCGCACCGCTCCAGTCAACCCAGTCAATCGGATCACCGACTCTTTCTTTCTGTCCCTACCTATACATGACGAAACTAGTCTGCTAGTCCCTGATCGATGCCTCAATCCTCGAGGTAGTAACCGAATCTCCTTCCCACCGCTCGTCAGCATGAAGGTGACCCCTAGCTACTGCGACTCCCGACCTGGACCGATCCCTCATCACCACAATCATGGAGCCTCAACAACCAATACAACCACCACAACCCTCGATGTCGTCCTCCCAGCAGGCCTCGACCACCTCTTCCCAGACGCCGACTCAACATCATCCGCGGCCCTCGCATCCTCAACTCCACCCCTTCCTTCCTCCAATGGCCTCGCAAATACCTCACCGGACTGCCAATAGCACTCCGGTCTCGTCGCCTGGCCTCTTCAGTCCGAGCATCCCCCGCTCAAACATGTCGCTCTCCGGCCAACCATCGTCCGAGAACACCACTCCGGCGCCGACCCTGCACAGTCCTTATCTTCACCCGCTCCAGAGCCACAAGGTTCGCGAGTAAGTAGTCTTATCTTTGTGACAGTCTAGTTCTGCAACCCCCTTTCCCCATATTAACACTGTTCTACCCCCTCCAGGACACACAAGGCGAACGTCGAACACGATTACACGACCGGCCGCAAGGCCATCAACCAGTATGAAATCATTGAAGAGCTTGGACGTGGTATGCATGGCAAGGTCAAATTGGCACGCAACACTCAAACCGGCGAAAATGTGGCCATCAAGATTATTCCCAGGTTCTCCAAGAAGAGGCGGCTCGGAAAGGTTACCGCCATGTCGACGCAGGACAAGAGCAGGCGCGAGATCGCCATCCTAAAGAAGATTCGTCACCCCAACGTTGTCGCCCTTCTCGAAATCATCGACGACCCCGAGCTCAAGAAGATCTACATGGTGCTGGAACACGTGGAGCTGGGCGAGGTTGTCTGGAGAAAGAAGGGTCTCCCTCACATCTGCGCTTATGAACGCCGACGCCAGGAGAGAGAACAGCTGGGAGCCATGCCGGACGCAATGGAGAATGAGTACCTGCGCTTCATGGCAAAACGCCAAGCGGAGAAGGAAGCCAAGCGGGCGTACGTGGCGCGACAGGCTCACCCCAACAACGCCGAATACTGGAGTCTCGAGTTTGGTACCGCCGATGACGACGACCTCGACTTTCATGCTAGGTCCCTGGGCAGAGACTCGTCCATCCCGTCCTTTGCCGAGAACTGGCTTGGCCTTGTATCCAGAGTCACCTCCCGCGCGCCTTCCCGAACTCAGTCAATGAAGTCCATCTCCCGGTCAAATACCCCCCAGCCTTCCGAGCCCGACGTTGCCTCGATCGCCTCAGTTGTTCCCGAGATTGACGAAGATGAGTTGGAGACACCCCATGGACATTCACACACCAACCAGGATGCTGCGGTCGAGGGCACGCTATTCGCCCCTCGCGAGGACGAACCCAGCCTCCGCAAGAGGTCCCCAAGCATGGCCGACTCCATCATGTCTCACATGTCGTCGGTTGACTACAACAGAGTGCACGATCCTTTCGTTGACGATTACTCGTATGTCCCCTGCTTCACGATCGACAAGGCCAGGTCGGCTTTCCGCGACACCGTCCTGGGTCTCGAGTATCTACACTACGAAGGCGTCGTTCACCGTGACATCAAGCCTGCCAACCTGCTTTGCACCAAGGATCACCGAGTCAAGATCTCCGATTTCGGCGTCTCCTACTTCGGACGGCCTCTCCGCGATGGTGAGCCCGACGAGCCTGTTTCCGAGTCAGAAGCCCGCGACTTCGATAACGACCTAGAGCTGGCCAAGACGGTCGGCACCCCTGCTTTCTTTGCCCCCGAGCTCTGCTACACCGACACCTACGACGACCGACCTGGCCAGCAGCCCAAGATCACCGAGCAGATCGACGTGTGGTCTCTGGGAGTTACCCTCTACTGCTTGATCTTTGCCCGCATCCCCTTCCTGGCGGAGGACGAGTGGCGCATGTTCAAGAAGATTGCTACGGAAGAGGTCTACATCCCAAGACAGCGCCTCCGCCCTGTTGATCCTTCCACCAAACCGGACGAAAAGTCCCTGTATACGCGAGTGAACCGAGATCCTTACCGCAACGATGATGAGCCTTTGTACGAAGAAATTGGCGACGACCTCCACGACCTCCTCAGCAAGATGCTCATCAAGAACCCGGAGAAGCGGATTCGCCTGCGTGACGTCAAGAGACATCCGTGGGTCATTAAGGGCATCGATAATGTCGTAGCCTGGCTGGATGATACCGATCCTTCTCGACGCACGGCAGGTAGGAGAATCCAAGTCGACGAACGTGATATTACTCAGGCTGTTGTGCCCCTCACCTTTGTCGAGCGGGCCAAGTTGGCTTTCAAGAAGACAGTGACCAAGTTCACCCACAGGGGAGACCGCTCAGAGAGCGTGTCCTCACGCAAACGTGCCACGAGCAGTGCCGCCAGCTCG